AGTCATCCTATTGAAAGAATTATAATTAGACTAAGATATAATAATTATTAGAATAAGAATGGGGATTCTAAAATATAGTATATAAACCCCGGTATTATCAAAATAAAACCAGACTTTGTATAACAAAAAAAGACTCCATACTTCTTTATTTATTTCGGAAATTGGCGCATTGTAAACCATAGACACTTGGATGCCGGTCTAAGTATTACATTAATATAAATCATCAACATTTTACATTTTCATACTTCAGTATTACATGGCGATCCTGCCCTCAATCCCGAAAAGGTAGTGCCTGCCCATCATCCTAGAAAGATAGTGCCTTTATACCACTTTTTTTGCCCTGAGGAAGATTGAACGAGAATCACTTTTTAAATGAACCAAGGTCCAATATAACTAAGCATCAATGATGAATAAGAAAATGAAGAGACAAAAGTCGTAGAAGAATCTTTAAAAAGTGAAACACCAGAATTATACAACAAAACAAAAGATTTACTTATAAGACAACTGACAAAACCGACAGAAGTCGTACCGACGTTTACGGGAAAACATAGTGAACTAGGCGGTTTTCTGAAGATTGTAGAATTATTGTATAATTCCTTAAATACGGAAGGGAAACGACAATTTATAGAGGTTGTATATCACATAAAACTTAATCCCAAAGTAAAGACAATATCAGTTACTAGTTCCGAACCTACAGACTATGCATCTTTATGCAACAACTTAAAAGAAAAATTAAGATCGAAAACGACAGTTTTAAAAATATATACAAATTTGGCGAATATGTATTAATCAGTATTGGATCACGCATCCGCTGACAACATACCAATGCATTTAATAGAACAAGAGTTAAGCGTTTTAAGATAGAGAACTTTACCATTAATAAATTCAAAACTGTTTCATTACCTCTTTCCTAATCGGAATCTTATAGCGAATTGAAATAACATAATTGAAGACAATTTAAATGACATTTTGAGTTCGACTGGAAATTAGTCTGAGGATCTTTTACAAAGAAGAAAAAAAGAGAATACATATGAAACTTTCTCAACAAAGTTTAAATAGTTCTCAGGAATCCAAAACGGTTTCATCAACTTTTTCATAGTCTCAATATTCGCGTGAATTCTTAATTCAATCATCAAGTAGTGCAACAAGGACTAAACATTAAAAGTCCAAGCGATTATCATTGGTAAAAGTCCTTAAGAATTTAAGGGCGAGTGCATTTTCATACAAGTGCTCAACAAGGACTAAATTATAATAATAATAGTAACATAAAATAAATTATATTAGATGTCTGAAATTCGAAAAACTGGACCATATTTTATGTGGCGTTAAGGATCGCACTTCTAGTGAAAAATGCAAATGTGCAAAGTGAACTCAGGAAATAGACATTCTAAAGGTGATGTCGTTTAAAAGGTTATTGAGAAAGGACGTTTTGAACTCGTTTTCGATGAGTGGTTATGATGTCTTTATGGAATATGAGGAGAATTTCCTAGCATGCCAGTAATTTATCGGAATTTAGATAAGGTTACTTATTTCGAAAAGATGATATCTGAAATGACAAATGTCATGAATAATTACTTTTCTGAGAAGTGTGGAAGTTCGTATATGAGGATTTTAATAATCTGATAGTCAAAAGTCATCTTTCGTCTTTTATTAGGATTAACGTACAGCTATAACAAAAGATTAAGGACGTTTACTCGGGTTTAAAGGAAAATAGTATTTTGTAAGCGGAAACATTAACTTAATTAAGCGAGACCAACTGTCTAACCTCGACGTCTGCCTGGCCACTGTATTATGACCCTAGTATTATAGTTCAGATAAGAATACTTCCAAGCTTAACTAGATAGCGAGGAACCAATATTTCCCTGCTATGGTGGGGGTAGTTTAGTTTATATTTAAGGGTTATGCGGCATAAAAAGGTGCAATTTCATTCGAAGGCCATAATGTCCATTGTGATTCCCTTCGCAGAGTGTAAAGTTCCAAAGATAACAAAGAAATCACAAGGTAGTTACTTTTATGACAGGTGGAACGACGGTTTAATGTTCCTCGAACGATTCGTTCACGATAGCCGTTGAGAAAACTGAATGTGTAATTGTCTCTCACAGTCCGAGATCGCAAAGGCGTGTTCATTTAGAATTCTGTTGCATTTGTAGCCATTAATAGCTTCAGTGACCGCCATTTAATGCAAAATTTCTCTGGCGCTTGCAATTGACATTTTTTTATGTTGCTGCAAAAGCGTTGGCAGTCCATCAGAATGTAACTGGAAGGGGATTTTTTGAACCGTGGGGATATTTGTTACTCAACGGACCTTAATCCTTTGGTCCAAGAGATGAAAAGTGATACCGACGATTTTGAAGCAGATAACCAAATTTTGCCACATATGTCATCGATGTTGATACCTAATAAATAAGAGTGCAATCATCTACATAAGATAATTTTTGACCTCTTAACTCAATAAACATATGGTCTACAGCAGAGATAGTTATCCAGCGTTTGATATCATTGGGAAGTGTTAAGTTTGTGATATCGCTAATCAGCATTGAGTGATCGACCGTATCGAAGCCATTGGATAAATCCTGGGCGACGACGATGTTACGCTGACATGGTCCATGCTGATTGAGGCCATTGACGATCTTTGCTGCTAAAGATAGGGCTTTAAGATTCTCCCTAAGTAACGGACTTGTCTGGTTTTAGAATTGGAATTACCCGAGCGACCTTCCAGATATCTGGAATCATTAAATTTCTAATAGAGAGTTCCAAAAAGCAGGTAAGATATTCCAGACCTATTAAACCCAGTTAATACCCAGCAAAAAATAATTGATGTCATACTTTACAAACTACATCTTAATCACATCTTAAAATGCGATTACATATTTTTCACTTTTATAATCCAAATATTTCCTTACAAATGAAACCCCAGTTAAAAGTGAGGAAAGAGATGTAGAAAAGTCATTACAAATAACATATTTGAAGTACATTAAGATTTGGTGAAAGAGTAGTGAAATTTACATAAGCGTGTCATTAAGAGAATGTGTTTTATTTTTGACATCCAAATATCGGATTTTTACTGCTTCTAAAAATAAGATTAGATGTAGTTCAAAATTGCCAAAAATGAACAACATCCCTCCAATGACACGCTAATGTAAAATTCATAGGTTTTACACCCGAATTTGAAGCACTTCGGGTTACTAGTTGTGATGAAAATTCTACATCTTTTTCCACACTTTTTTTGCTGGGTAAGTATCCTAGTAGCACTCACATCAAGTGTTGGCCCACGATATTTTGTAATTCATTCTACTATTTCAGGACTTGTTAATGATGTTACGGATTCTCTCGAACATCAACCTACAAGAGTGATAGATGAGTGGTGTAGGGAACAACAAATCCTACAAAAACCGTGGCGAATATAACTTTCTCAACCTCAAACCCTAAAAGAACTTCGATTTACTTATAAATGGAAATTGAATCTTCTACTGACAAGTTAAGGTCGAAATTGTTTAGAACAAAATATTCTTGTAAAACGTTTATAGTATTAAAACAGATTTTTCTGTAAAGAAAATTTAACATAAACTTTGTTTTATATGATTTCTATGTTATTGTTAATAATGTTTTTAAAATCTTACAGTTTTGTGTTAAAGAACTCAGAGCAGCTTTGCACCGTGTTCTTATTACTATTATTGGTGGGTAAATTATTATGTTTTTTTTTTATATTATAAGGAAATATTGTTGTTGTTAAATATATTGATATTATTGCAAGTATTATTATTTAATTAAATTTTAATATAATTATTATTGTTATTATATTTTAAGCATAATTTTTTTGTAATTTTTAAGCTTATAAAAACTAATTACATTTATTTTATAATTGATATGATGATTTTTGTTTTTGTTTAATTATTATAATACTTTTTCTTTTAATTTTTTTAGAATAAAAATTGTAAAAAGGAATTAAAAAGTTTTTTTTTTTTAAGAAAAAATAAAAAGAATAAAAATATAAAAGCCTTAGCTCCTTTAGGGAATTATGTTTTATTTTTAAGCCAAATTTATTTAAATTTGTTGAAAATGTTAGCCTAAACTATAATTTATAAAAAAATTAAGAATTTTTTAACTAAATTTTGTTTTTTATACCCACCATCAAAAAAGATGGGGGGTATATTGATTTTGTCATTCCGTTTGTAACACATCGAAATATTGGTCATAGACCCACAAAAGTATATATATTCTGGGTCCTCATTAAATTCTAAGACGATCTAGCCATGTCTGTCCGTCTGTCCGTCTGTCCGTCCGTCCGTCCGTCTGTCTGTCTGTCTGTCTGTTGAAAGCACGATAGAGTCCGAATGGAAAGAGCTAGAGGGTTGAAATTTCACATAAATATTTCTTATAGGTAAGGTTTGTTTGGTATTGAAAATGGGCAATATCGGTCCACGTTTTCGGATAGCCCCCATACAAGTGGCCCTCGAAAAGCAGCTTTAACAGCCATAACTTGTTTAAAAATACGAATATAGCGATGAAATTCGACATAAGTAAGTTTCTTGTGATCCAAAATCACTGTACAAAATTTTATGAGGATCGGTCCATAATTGACCCTACCCCCCATATAAGGTCCCCTTCAGAAAATGACTTTAACGCTCATTACTGCCTTAAAAATTCTAGTATATAGATGAAATTCGTCATAAGTAAGTTTCATACGAGTCAAAATCTATCTAAAAAATTTTATGTTGATCGGTCCATGATTGACCCTACCCCCCATATAAGGTCCCCTTCAGAAAATTCCTTTAACGCTTATAACTGGCCTAATAATACGAATATATAGATGAAATTCGACATAAGTAAGTTTCATTCGAGTCAAACGAGGTTTGATGGTGGGTATATAAGATTCGGCATAGCCGAATATAACACTCTTACTTGTTTTTTTTTCATTTTTTGTATTAATTATCACAGATTTTTGGATTTTATTTGTAGCCGAATATATTAAAAAAAAATTAATAAAAAATTTTAAGAAAAATTAAAAGTAAATTTTGCTTTAAAGCCAAATATGAGAAGACGTTTTTTTGTAATATTTAGTTGAACATTTAAGCCCAGGAACTTATACATTTGTTTTTGTAATAAAAAATTTATTTAAAGAAATATTTTGTAAAACAAAAAATAATAATAAATAAAATCAGTCTGTTGAGTTAAGTGTTATACAACGGTTATGCAAGTCTAAACAAAAAGTTCACTAACCTTTTTAAATAAGTTGTTCAATTTTTTTGTATATATATTTTTTTAATAATATTTAGACACCTTTAAATTTTACCCTCTTAACAACTTGTTCAGTTTTTTTTTTTAATATTTTGCATTTCTTTATGCGCATGTCTTTAAATTTAAATTTCTACTTTTCTAGACTTTTTGTCTAAACCATATAACACTTGTTGTTTAACACTAGTATTTAGTATTAAAAAAAAGAAAGATTTCAAATCTGTTCAAACTAAAACTAATGGCACTGTTTTAAAATCATAAAAGCCAGTTTTGAAAATAATAAATGCTAAAATATCTAGACTTATTATTCAATAATTAATAATACTTAAGTTTTTTTAAAAAAAAAAGTATATATTCAACTTTAAAGTTGAAATTGCACAAAATGTTTGTTTATTTTTCATACTAAATAATTATTTAATTAATTTAATACTTTAAATGGTTTTAAAAACCTTTGTTCGTCGTCCTTATAATCATTTTAAATTGTATGTTTTATATTTGTGTGTTAAGGGTTTAAAACATTCATAATTTGTTTTTAAAATTTAAAATATGTCCTACATTTAGTTAAGAATACTCTTTTCTTGGAGTATATATTATCAATTTAAATCTTATCACTACTACAAAAATGTAAAGAAGAAGAAAAAAATACTATTACTGTTATATTGTGGAATGTGTTTACATTCATTTTGTTTTTAAACTCGTTTGTTTGTATGTTATGTTCCAAAGATTTCAAACATTTATGTCTTCTCATTTATGTATATCTTATGTCAAACAAACTTACCTGTTTTATGTTTATATTGAATTGCTTAAATTTTCCATACGTTGTGGAGTCATATTACCCATTAATGTAGCACCATTACCTACACCCATCATAGGAGATCCTGGTGGAGGATTTCCCATACCCACAACACCTCCTACAGCACCATTACCGCCGCCTTGTAAATTCGATGTACCCTCACTTTCACTTTTCCAAGATGATACTTGTATGTGCGGTGGTGGCAGAGAATTGCGCAAAGATTGCACAATTTGTATAGTGTCTAAGAGAGCTGGAAGGTTAAAAGTTAACAATTAGTGGGAATAATTTGTATTGTTAAAAGGAAGGCACTCTTTGTATAAATGCTTGCAAGCTTAACACTTGTTTTACTTTGAAATAATAATATTTTTAGATCTTAATGGCACTTTCAAGCCATCCTTCATTTTGGGCAAAACTTATAAAAAGAATTGCATATAAACTATACTATGGGGACTATAGTAAGAAATAGACATCGAATCGTTAGAAGGTGTGTATACCACATTAAAACTAGTCCTGGAAACAGGCGCTCATATGTCCTATATGTTCATTGAACAATTCAACGGAATCCCGTTTAATGTATAAAAAAGAAGGAAATGGCCGATATTGTATATTGATAAAACGGTTAGTTAGTTAGTCGCCTGGAAACAGGCGCCTATAGGTCCAATATGTTCACTGAACAGTTCTATAAAAAAGAAGAAAATGGCCGATATTGTATAGGGATAAAAGTTAGTTAGATAGTTAGTTAGTAGTTAGTGAGTTAGTTAGTAGTTAGTAAGTTAGTTAGTTAGTTAGTTAGTTAGTTAGTAGTAGTTAGTTAGTTAGTTAGTAGTTAGTTAGTTAGTTAGTTAGTTAGTAGTTAGTTAGTTAGTTAGTTAGTTAGTTAGTTAGTTAGTTAGTTAGTTAGTAGTTAGTTTAGTTAGTTAGTTAGTAGTTAGTTAGTTAGTTAGTAGTTAGTTAGTTAGTTAGTAGTTAAGTTAGTTAGTTAGTTAGTTAGTAGTTAGTTAGTTAGTTAGTTAGTTAGTTAGTTAGTGTTAGTTAGTTAGTTAGTAGTAGTTAGTTAGTTAGTTAGTTAGTTAGTTAGTTAGTTAGTAGTTAGTAGTTAGTTAGTTAGTTAGTTAGTAGTTAGTAGTTAGTTAGTTAGTAGTTAGTTAGTTAGTTAGTTAGTAGTTAGTTAGTTAGTTAGTTAGTAGTTAGTTAGTAGTTAGTTTAGTAGTTAGTTAGTTAGTTAGTTAGTTAGTTAGTTAGTTAGTTAGTAGTTAGTTAGTTAGTAGTAGTAGTTAGTTAGTTAGTTAGTAGTTAGTTAGTTAGTTAGTAGTTAGTTAGTTAGTTAGTAGTTAGTTAGTTAGTTAGTTAGTTAGTTAGTTAGTTAGTTAGTTAGTTAGTTAGTTAGTTAGTTAGTTAGTTAGTAGTTAGTTAGTTAGTTAGTTAGTTAGTAGTTAGTTAGTAGTTAGTAGTTAGTTAGTTAGTTAGTTAGTTAGTAGTTAGTTAGTTAGTTAGTTAGTTAGTTAGTTAGTTAGTTAGTTAGTTAGTTGTTAGTTTGTTAGTTAGTTAGTTAGTTAGTTAGTAGTTAGTAGTTAGTTAGTTAGTTAGTTAGTTAGTTAGTAGTTAGTAGTTAGTTAGTTAGTAGTTAGTTAGTTAGTTAGTTAGTAGTTAGTTAGTTAGTTAGTTAGTTAGTTAGTTAGTTAGTTAGTTAGTTAGTTAGTTAGTTAGTTAGTTAGTTAGTAGTTAGTTAGTTAGTAGTAGTTAGTTAGTTAGTTAGTTAGTTAGTAGTTAGTAGTTAGTTAGTTAGTTAGTTAGTTAGTTAGTTAGTTAGTTAGTAGTTAGTAGTTAGTTAGTAGGTTAGTTAGTAGTTAGTTAGTTAGTTAGTTAGTTAGTTAGTTAGTTAGTTAGTTAGTTAGTTAGTAGTTAGTTAGTTAGTTAGTAGTTAGTTAGTAGTTAGTTAGTTAGTTAGTTAGTTAGTTAGTTTAGTTAGTTAGTTAGTTAGTAGTTAGTTAGTTAGTTAGTTAGTTAGTTAGTTAGTTAGTAGTTAGTTAGTTAGTTAGTTAGTTAGTTAGTTAGTTAGTTAGTAGTTAGTTAGTTAGTTAGTTAGTAGTAGTTAGTTAGTTAGTTAGTTAGTTAGTTAGTTAGTTAGTTAGTTAGTTAGTTAGTTAGTAGTAGTTAGTTAGTTAGTTAGTTAGTAGTTAGTTAGTTAGTAGTTAGTTAGTTAGTTAGTTAGTTAGTTAGTTAGTTAGTTAGTTAGTTAGTTAGTTAGTTAGTTAGTTAGTTAGTAGTAGTTAGTTAGTTAGTTAGTTAGTAGTTAGTTAGTTAGTTAGTTAGTTAGTGCGTAATTTGAAATCTACATTTAAATTCTATTAAGATTCAATCGCTTTCGAATATGTTAGGATTACGCGGCTTGCATTGGTTACTACGAAGAGTGATTCCTTTTATTTTTTCAAAGAAATTAAAAATCTACTTACTTTTTTGTAGTGCTTCACTTTGCTTCCCATAAGGTTTGCACATTGATGGTCGTATGTAGGTTTTCATACGTGCCATATTACGCATAAGTTCGGCAAATATACGTATGATTTTCTCCTGACCTAAGGGCCAACCCTCGCGTCCATTCACATCGGTAGAGGACCAAGCAATATTATGCAAAGCCAATAGATCTTTATTCGATTCTAAAGATTCCAAACTGGCACTGGAAGGGAAACATTAATAAGTAACCGTACATGTACAAAGTATATTAAAAAATAATTTAATTAAAAAATTTAATTTCAAAAACACAATTTTCCTTAGAAAATTTTCAATATCAAAAATATCGAAATAAAATATTTCGATTCAAATTTTTAAGATATCAATGTTGAAAATTTTTTAATGTTTTTTTTTTTTTTTTTTTAATTTTTTTTTTCGAAATGATTAATATTGAACATTTTTGAATAGAAAACTTGTCGTAATTGAACGTTTTTGAATAAATAGAAAACTTTCGAATATTTATATTGAAAATGTTGAATATAAAATTCTCAATATTAAAAATTTCGAAAAGAAAATTTAGATTTTTATTATTTCTTTTATTCTGTTTTGGGAAAACTAACAGATTTTATTTGAGGTCGATAACGAAAAGTAAAAGTGACTTCATTTGCACAACAATTAAAAAAGAAACACCAGTTAATGCTTAACTTTGCCACAAATATCTTTCAACAAGAAACATTTTTTTACCTCAATATTTTTTCCACCAAAATAAGGAATTCCATTATTAAAAAAATCTCTCTACATACTTACTAATGTGAAGATTACTTAGCATTTCATCATTGCCCTTAAACTCACCGCAAGGTTTCAACGTTTTTCTGCACTATCTGTTGCACTGAATGTTCCGATGTGGAGGGAGAACTATCATGACGTCCCATGGCTGCAGCACCACCACTACTAGAACCACTAGCACTATGAGCGGTAGGAGATTGGGGTGGTGGTGGTAACGGATGATGAATGTTGTGATGCGGTGGCGGTACAATGGGTACACCCGGGTTGGGAGAAGCATTTGGTAGACCCATAGCAGCAGCAGAAACTGCTGCAGCCGATTGAGCTGCCGAATTTTGACCAGCAGCTGCAGCAGCGGCCGCCACAGCAGCAGCTTGCGACTGCATAAGACCTTGCATTTGCAAATTAGCGGCAGCAGCAGCCACGGCCATAGTGGTGGGATCAAAATGTTTGGGATCCAGTTGAGAGAGTACACGTTGTTTCTCTAAAGCTGAAAGAGTGCTAAATTTTTCTAGGCTTTGTTGGGCTAAAGCACGATTCTGTTGCTGTTGTATGAGGGCCGAGAGTTGTTGCTGCTGTTGTTGGGCGGCGGCGGCTGCAGCAGCTGCTGCTACGGCCGCTTGCTGTTGCTGCTGCTGATGATGTTGTTGCTGTTGTTGTTGCTGCTGTTGCTGGTGTTGTTGTTTTGCAGCAGCTGCTGCAGCGGCGGCAGCAGCCGCAGCGCTTATTTGAGATAATTGCGATTGTATGCTGTTCTGTTGTTGTTTAGTCAAATGCTGCAGTTGAGGTGGTACCTTGGGATGGGAAGAATGCGAAGATTTAGAAGACAAATCAACTTCTCCACCCACACCACCACCAGTAGAACTACTAGTAGCCGAACTGCTACTACCGGCCGAACTGGGACCACTAACAGTACTGCCGCCTGCTGAACCACCCGCCACATGACCACCAGCCACATGCGGAGGTGGGGGTGGAGGCAAGTGAGGCAAATGCTGCAGAAAATCAGTTGGATTGACGCTGGGAAATTGTTGATCCATAAATGGTAGAGGTGAAATGCCAATATGATTTTTATAGTAACGACAAGCAGGACTGGGACAGGATTGCACCACTTCTATAATAAACTCCTTTTCCATGCCAAAATTTTCACGGCCTATAGTATAAGATTCAATGACAGCTCTCACTGTGGCATCAACACTTAAATGCAGACCATGAGGGCCGGACATATGCTTAAGCATAACAGCATTGGCAAAGTGTTCAAAGGGCAAGACGATTTTGCCATTTTCACGCAGAATCAAACGTCCCTGGGTATCCAATGTCATGCGATTGGCCAAGACTCTGTTAAGGAATAGATAAAGAAAATCAAATTAAAATAATTATAACTTTTAGTTAATAAAAATATTAAAAAAAAAACTTAAGCTAAATACAAAATTTCTATTAGTTTAACAATTGTTTATAGTATAAACTTTATACATAAAACATCCTTAAAACGTGGATTTTTCTTATAAACTCACTGCAAATAAGCTGCACTGGGCAACATGGCATTATCTTTTAAATCGGTGAAACACTGCAACAACTCTGCACTGGGATTCCAGCCCTTATTTTGTAAATATAATTGCAAGAGCATATAGAGTTTTTCAGTCACATAACCGGCACCAGAAATGCCAGCAGCACTTGTGCCGGCCATATCGCCCGTACCATGCGGACCGGCACTAGAGGGTGCGGACATGCCGCCCACACCGGAAGGTCCAGCCCCCGAACCACTGGCGCCGGGTCCACCCTTAGATAAGGCCGCTTTCATTGTTTCCGATAAATCCAATTTATAATTGTCCGGATAGAAATTTTTTACGTGATCCTTTAATAGAAAAACGAAAACGAAAAAACAACAACAATATTACATTTCATTGTGCCCTCCTCATTTCAACAATATCCCACAAACAAACACACCAAATTATTCATTTTCATTAAAAACTGCCTTGGGACGACGACTGTATTATGGCTGGCGGTGTTGGCGTTGGTGGAGGCGGCGTTGTTAGCGCCCGGTATTGGTGTCTCGCCCCTACCTTTTGCTAACAACCAAGGACTATTAGATCTAGCAATTGTTACAAATTTTCTTTAATTCTCTATAATTTTTCATAAATTTTATATTTTCGAGGATTTTCTTTCCACGTAATCTCTAACTTTTCACAATTTTTCACTCGTTTAAATTGCAGTTTTCTTATTGCAATTTTTTTTTTTTCTTATAAGAAAATTTTCACTTCTTTTTTTTCGCTGTCGTGACTTGAAAAATTTCTTGTAGATTCCTTAAAATACAGGATTTTTTTCTTCGCCTTCTTTTTCTTTCTTTTTCTTTAACTTCAATCATTGTGAATTATTTTTTCGCGATTTTTTGTCTTTGTGAAAAAGAGATGCACGATTTTTTGCAAATTAAACAAAAAATTGTTTACATTTCGCCAAGTGCTGCCAGATGGCGGAATGTTTGTGTGAGTAAATGGCCTTGAAATTGTTTGGGGCTTTTTGCTGCACTTTCAAGGGAAAGAGTTTGTTATGGGTTTATGTTATGGGTGGATGGATGGAATTAATTATGAGAACTTGTAATAACAAATTCTTACACACTACCATTGTTAGTATTGCTATTTGTTATTCCCACAAAGAAAAGAGTAACAACGATTATGGTTTATAATGTGAGTAGTTGTAGTGTGCATTTAATTGGATTGCAATAAACGTATAACAAAAAATCTTCAACAATATTGTAGTTCTTGGTATTAAAATGTCTGTGTTTGCATATACATAAATATTGTTTTATGAACAAAAATTCATTTTTATAAAAGAAAATTTTTCAAATACTTTTTTTTTAATTTTTATAAAAAATATGTATTAATTTTTTTTTAAAAATTCTTTAATCAGAAAAAATTTTAAAAATTTTATTTTTATAAACATTTTTAAAATTCTTTTTTTTATAAATTTCAAAACTTATAGAAAATTTTATTAAAAATAAATCTTCTGAAAAGTTTTCTACCAAAATAATTTTGGCATAAAATATTTTAAAAATATAATTAAATAAAAACTCAAAAGTGATTGAATAATAATTAAAAATACAATTTAAGGAAAAATATTTAAAAAGTTTTCTATAAAAAAGAAATTTGTCAAAAATTTCGTATAATTAATTTTTTTTTTTAATTTATTATTAAAATTTCCTATTTATAGAAAATTTATCAAAATTTTCTATAAAAAATTAATTTATACAATTTATTTCAATTTCCTATGAAAGGAAAATTTATCAAAATGTATCCTATAAAAAGAATATTTAACGAAAATTTCTTATAAAGAGAGTATATAAAATTTAATATATAATAAGAAAATTTTAATTCAAAATTTATTTTGCCATAAAATATTTTGAAAATATAATTATATGAAAACTCACAGATTTCTTTTAAAAGGGAATATCGCTTAAATAATAATTAAAAATAGAATTTAAAAAAAAAATATTACATAAAAATTAATTCCGCAAAAGTGTGTTATAAAAAAAGGGACAAGGGATAACTTATAATGAGAGAAAAAACTTTAAATTTTTTATTAAAATTTTATATTCCTATAAAAAGTTTCCTATAATAAAGAAATTTATCGAAATTTCCTATAATTTTAATATTTTATTAGAATTTCCAATAAAAAGGAAATTTATCGAAAATTTTCTATAAAAAAAAAATATTAAAAATTTCTTATAAAAGGTAATTTTAAAGAAAATATCCTATACAAAAGTGTTTTATCGAAAATTACCTATAAAGAAATTTAAAAAAAAATCCTGTAATTTTAAATATTTTTTTAAAATTTCCTACAAAGAGCAAAATTATCTATAAAAATTTAATTTATAGAAGAAATTTCCCATAGAAACGTTTTTTTATAAAAAGAAAATTTATAGAGCATTACCTATAAAAATAAAATTTCCTAATAGAAAAAAAATTTCCTATAGAAAATATTGCTATAAAAAAGAAAATTTATCGAAAATTTCCTATAAAAAAAATTATCGAAAATTTCCTATAAAAAGAAAATTTATTGAAAATTTCCTATGAAAAGAAAATTTATTGAAAATTTCCTATAAAAGGAAAATTTATTGAAAATTTCCTAGAAAAAGAAAATTTATCGAAAATTTCCTATAAAAAGAAAATTTATTGAAAATTTCCTATAAAAAGAAAATTTATTGAAAATTTCTTATAAAAAGAAAATTTATTGAAAATTTCCTATAAAAAGAAAATTTATCGAAAATTTCTTAGAAAAAGAAAATTTATCGAAAATTTCTTAGAAAAAGAAAATTTTTCGAAAATTTCCTATAAAAAGAAAATTTATCGAAAATTTCCTATAAAAAGAAAATTTATCGAAAATTTCCTATAAAAAGAAACTTTATCGAAAATATCCTATAAAAGAAAATTTATCGAAAATTTCCTGTAAAAAGAAAATTTATCAAAAATTTCCTATAAAAAGAAAATTTATCGAAAATTTCCTATAAAAAGAAAATTTATCGAAAATTTCCTATAAAAAGAAAATTTATTGAAAATTTCCTATAAAAAAAAATTATTGAAAATTTCCTATAAAAAGAAAATTTATCAAAAATTTCCTATAAAAAGAAAATTTATCGAAGATTTCCTATAAAAATAAAATTTATAGATAATTTTCTATAAAAGTAAAATTTATCAAAAATTTCCTATAAAAAAAAAATTATCAAAAATTTCCGATAAAAAGAAAATTTATCTAAAATTTCCAATAAAATGAAAATTTATCGAAAATTTCCTATAAAATGAAAATTTATCAAAAATTTTTTATAAAAAGAAAATTTATCAAAATTTGTTTATATAAAAGAAATTTTATCGAAAATTTGATATAAAAAATTTTTATCGAAAATTTGTTATGAAAAGAAAATTAAATTTATCAAAAATTTCATATAAAACGAAAATATACTTTATCAAAAATTTCCTACGAAAAGAAAATTAATCAGAAATTACATACAAAAATAAAATTTATCCAAAAATTTCATATAAAAAGAAAATATATCGAAAATTTCCTATAAAAATAAATTTTATCGAAAATTGGTTATAAAAAGAAAATTTATTTTATCGAAAATTTATGGAGAATTACATAAAAAATAATATTTATTTATATCAAGAAAATTTATGGCAAATTTTCTGTAAAAAGTTAATTTATGGAAAATTTTCAATAAAAAGGAAATTTGCTATTAAATAGAAATTTTCGTATAAAATAGATATCTATGGACATTTTTTGTAAAAAGGAAATTTATGGAAAAGTTTTTTTTAAAGATGAAATTTATAGAAAATTTCCTATAAAGAGGAACTTTATGGAAAATGTCTTATAAAAGGAAATTTATGAAAAATTCCCTATAAAAGGAAATTTATGAGAAAATGCCCTGTAAAAGAAAATTTATGGAAAATATCCTATAAAAAGGAAATTTATGGAAATATCCTATAAAAAGGAAATTTATAAAAAATATCCTATAAAAAGGAAATTTATGGAAAATATCCTATAAAATGGAAATTTATGGGAAAATGCCCTGTAAAAGGAAAATATCCTATAAAATGGAAAATTATAAAAAATATCCTATGAAAAGGAAATTCAAGAAAAATTTCCTATAAAAAGGAAATTTATGAAAAATTTCCTATAAAAAGGAAATTTATGAAAAATTTTCTATAAAATGGAAATTTATGGAAAATTTCCTATAAAAAGGAAATTTATGAACAATTTCCTATAAAAAGGAAATTTATGAAAAATTTCCTATAAAAAGGAAATTTATGAAAAATTTCATATAAAATGGAAATTTATGGAAAATTTCCTATAAAAAGGGAATTTATGAAGAATTTCGCATAAAAGGGAATCTATCGAATATTTCCTATAAAGAGGAAATCTATCGAAACCTATGGAAAATTTCCTATAATAATGAAATCTATCGAAAATATCATATAAAAATTAAATCTATCAAAAATTTTCTCTAAAAAGGAAATCTATCGAAAATTTCCTATAAAAAGAGAAACTTATGGAAAATTTCCTATAATAAAGAATTCTATCAAAAATTTCATATAAAAAGGAAATTTATCGAAAATTTCCCATAAAAATGAAATCTATCGAAAATATCCTATCAAAAGGAAATCTATCGAAAATTTAAAATTTCCTATATTAATGAAATTTATTTAGAATTTACTATAAAAAGAAAAATAATGTTAATAAGGAAATTTAATAAAAATTTTCTGAACTAATAATTTTAGCATTTGTTATTAAAGGGAAATTTTACAAAAATTTTTTATAAATCATTTTGCTTTGTAAAATTTCTACTTTTAAGTAAAAATTTTTACGATTATTAGGTTTATTTTGAAAATGAATAAATTAAAAAATTCTTTATTATATAACGATAAAGCTTTAAAATACTCATAAACATATTTTACTCTTTATTTGGAAAATATTTTCTATTTAAAGCTTTTTCCCCCAAAAAACGCTAAAATAACTTTTAAAGCAATAAGGCAACACATAAATAACAAAAAATCACAGTATGGCAACTAAAAACAAGAAAAAACATTGACAGCTGTTTATTTACAAACGCACGTGTAAAGGAATACGCAAAAGAGAATTAAGAAAAAATAAAAAACTGCACCAGAAATTTAAAAACTTTATTTAAAATTCGTTAAAAATCAAATATAATTTAACAAAATGAAGGTAAAAATGATTAGTCGTAATCCGGACGATTTTGTGCGTGAAACTAAACATGAACATCACAAAAGTAAGTTAAATTTAACAAGGAATTTATAACAAAAGAAGTAAACTACGCATTGTTTGGTTTTAGTGCCTCGTAATTATGATCCCTCTTTACATCCCCTGGAATCGGCCAGAGAATATGTACGCGCCTTAAATGCCACTAAATTGGAAAGGGTATTTGCCAAACCTTTTGTGGGCAATTTAAGTGGTCATCGTGATGGTGTCTCTTGTTTTGGTAAACATCCCAAAAGTTTATCCACCTTGTTGAGTGGTGCCTATGATGGTGAAGTGCGCATATGGGATTTGGCCAATCGTGAATGTGTTCGTTCATTTGTGGCACATGAAGGTTTTGTACGCGGCATTTGTTATAATGTGAAGGGTGATAGATTTTTCACTGTGGGTGATGATAAAACTATAAAGGTGTGGAATTCCCAGGCTCCAGATGTGGGCGAGGAAGAAGAACCCATTAATACCATTTTAAGTAGATCTATGATTACGGGAATAACACATCATCGTAAGGAGGCTAAATTTGCTACTTGTGGTGAATACTGTTCGATATGGGATGAAAATCGTAATGATCCCTTGAAAAATCTAAAGTGGGGAGTAGATACTTTGCATGATGTGGCCTTTAATCCGGTAGAAACTTCCTTGTTGTCCTGTTGTGGCAGTGATCGTAGTATTATCTTATACGATCAAAGAGAAGCAAAACCTTTAAGAAAAATGGTTTTAACCATGAAAAGTAACAAATTATCTTGGAATCCCATGGAGGCGTTTAACTTTACAGTGGCTAATGAAGATTGCAAGTAAGTATTCTATATAGGTTTTTATAAGGAAATTGGTAAAATTAACGTTAATAACTCTTTGCAGCCTTTATACTTTCGATACACGTCAATTGAGCAATCCTTTGAAGATTCACTTTGATCACGTTTCAGCTGTCACCGATGTTGATTATTCTCCCACAGGCAAGGAATTCGTTTCAGGCAGTTATGATAAAACTCTACGCATTTACAATGTTCATCAGAGCCACTCACGTGAAATCTATCATACTAAACGTATGCAGCATATTGTCTGCGTGGCCTGGTCTCTGGATAATCGTTATGTTTTCACGGGCTCCGATGAAATGAACATACGCATGTGGAAGGCAAAGGCTGCGGAGAAGCTGGGTGTTGTACGTCCCCGTGAACGTGTTGCCTTCAATTATCAGGAAGCTTTGAAGGAGAAATATGCTGCTCATCCACAAATCAAACGTATTGCTAGACATCGTCAAGTACCTCGAAGCATTATGAATAAACAGAAGAAAATGCGTGCTGTTAAGGATAAGGAATTACGTAAAGAGGCCAATGTACGCAAGCACTCTAAACCGGGTACTGTACCATTTGTGGCCGAAAAGAAGAAGACCGTTTTAAAGGAGGAAGTTTAACTTTTCTTTTTTTTTAGTATGAATTAAGTTAAGAGTTTGTAAGGATTTGATTTAAGGAATTAACAATAAAATGTAAACCAAAAATAAGCTTTTTACAGTACTTTGGATGTGACGTTCATGACAACATTATGGAGCTGAAAGGAGTTGTGGTGTTTTTGTACAATAGAAGAAACTATTATTTGAACTAAAGGCCTGCTCAAGACAACAATAAGACAACAATTTGTTAAAAAAAATATCGTGTGAGGCGCCATCATAAGCTCACGACCTTTTTTAACAAATTGCCGTCTTGTACAGGCCTTTAATGTGAACTATAGAAGAGACTATAGTCTTTATTTATAGAGTATATTTGATTCGGGTCAATAGAATGTACTATAGTTGGAACTTCAAAATAAACTATATTCTGGATTATAGAATGGAATATAGTCTGGTCTATAAAAAGTTTACATAATAGACCACAAACTGGTGTATAGAATAGAATACAGTCTGGACTATTGAATAAACTATAGTCTGAACTATAAAATAGACTAATGCCCGAACTATTGGACTATACGACTATAGTCTGGATTATAGAATAGTCTTTAGTCTGAACGATAGAATAGATTATAGACTGGACTATATTCGGAACTATAAAAAGCCTAGACTATAGAATAGCCAATAGTCTGGACTATAGAATAATGGACTTCAGAATATTCTATAGTTTCGACTATATAATAGACTTGAGTCTGGACTACAGAATATACTATAGTCTGGACTTTAGAATAGACTATAGTCTGGACTATAGAATAGACTTTAGTCCGGACTATAGAATAGACTATAGTCCGGACTATAGAATAGACTATAGTCCGGACTATAGAATAGACTATAGTCTGGACTATAGAATAGACTATAGTCTGGACTATAGAATAGACTATAGACTGGACTGTAGAATAGACTATAGACTGGACTGTAGAATATACTATAGTCTGGACTATAGAATAGACTATAGACACACTATAGTCTGGACTATAGACAGAATTTAGATAGACTATAGAATAGACCATAGTCTGGACTATAGAATAAACTATAACTTGGACCATAGAATAGACTATGGTCTGGAATATAGAATAGACTATAGTCTGGACTATATAATAGACTTTTTAAAATTTAGGTTTAAATAAACTCATAATTACTTTTTTTTGGGGTTACTTTTTTCGTTATTCTAAAATACAACCTTGTATTATCAAATGCAAAGTTCAATCTGGCAACTCGTTAATTTTGACATTTGGAAAATAAAAACAAATTGTGGACGCTTGAGTTTGAATTTAAACATATTTTTTCTAATTAAACAAAAAAACAAATAAAAAGCTACAAAAAAACCTATAAAAATGCCTCGTGGAACACTAGGTGAATCGGATTCAGTGATAGAAGAAGGACCGGTGCACAACTTTGATTATCGTACAAGAAGTTCCATAACCAATCCATATGAACAAGCCTCCACAAGTCGTGCAGCCACTAGCAGAACAACGGCCAGAAAAAGTATTAATAATGCCGGCAACAGTAATACTTTGAAAGGGGCTGCACGTCGAAAGAAAAGGACTCCTCGCCAAAGGGAAATGCGTCTATTAAAATCTATAATGCAATTTCAAAAGACTACAAGTAAGTTTAATTAATCCAAAGATATGATATTTATTAAAACTTGAATTTTGTTTTTTAGCCTTATTAATACCTCGTGCTCCTTTTGCACGTTTGGTGCGTGAAATTAGTTTAAATGTTAATCCAGATATAGCACGTTATACAATAACCGCATTGGAAGCTTTACAGGAGGCTACGGAAATGTTTATGGTACAATTACTACAGGATTCTTACCTCCTGACTATGCATCGAAAATGTGTTACTTTATCGACGGCCGATATGATGTTGATACGTGCTTTAAAATTAAATCTTTAATTTAGATTTTTTTAGACAATAGTTCATTCATTGCTTGTTAGTCCATCAACCTGTTCTGTAATATGTATGAAATTTTGATCATTCAAAATAATTTTACATGGAAATAGTTTACCATTTTATTTTTAACTTTATTTTCTTATAAAAAGTATTCTAATGGTATTTTTTATGTCTAAGGTTTTTATATTAATTTGTATGAATTACAAAGTTATTTTTATTTTTCAACAATTAAATATATTTTAATGAAATTTATAAATGCGAAAATTTTCAATTTCAGTTTATTTTATTTCTATATATCTGGTTAAGTTCTACAACAGTTCAGATGCGATTCTGGTAAAATTCATTCTTGTTTAGTTCTAAATATGTTTGAGTCCAGCTCTTGCTTATTTCCAGCTTATTACATAGTTTGGTTTTAGTTAGATACTACTCAAGTTCTAATTCAACTGCAGTCCAGTTCTGGGTCAGTTAGTACGTTTTTAGTTCAGTTCTAGTTCCATTCTGGTTCAGGTCTTGTTCAGTTCTAGTTTAGTTCTAGTTAAGCTTTAGTTCTGGCTCAGTTCTAGTTTAGTTTTAGTTCAGTTTTAGTTCAAATCCAGTTCAGTCTTATTCAGTTCTAGTACAGTTCTTGTTTATTTCTAGTTCACTTCTAGCTCAGTTCTATTTTAGTTCTAGTTCGGTTCTAGATTAGTACTAGATTTCTTCTAGTTCATCAGTTCAAGTTCAGTTCTATTTCAGTTTTTAATAATTATAAGTTAAGTTAACAGAGGTGTCTCATATAAAAACGAAGACTCCTTTTGTTAACTATAATTAAAGCTTATACCTACTTACTTGGCTTCTGTTTATTTGCAAAATCGTGATGTCTGCTTTAACCCATAATTTTCTTATTGATTTCTCTTATTTCGCTTAATATTTTATATTATCCTTATAAACCACTTCCACAATAATGTTTTTCCTTTATCAAAACCTTTCATATTTTATTTTAAACGGAAGTTTTAATAAGTTCACTGAAATTTTCACTTGAGAAAAAACCGAATGGAAAACGCGCGAAAAAGAACTAAAAATGACGGGTTGTATTGACACTTGTAGAGGTGTTTAAATTATTAGTAGTTTTTTAGCAACATTAAAAAACAACTCTACTTATCATGAAAAATTCAGTATTTTAGTACTCTAACGGTATTTTGGGTACAATTCTAACTTATACAATAGTTGTGTTATATTGTCTAGACTAGTCCAGTCTAAGTCTAGTCTATCGTCTAGTCTATAGTCTAGTCTATAGTCTAGTCTATAGTCTAGTCTCTAGTATATAGTCTAGTCTATAGTCGTTATAGTCTAGTCTATAGTCTAGTCTATAGTCTAGTCTTCTATAGTCTAGTCTATAGTCTAGTCTATAGTTGTCTATAGTCTAGTCTATAGTCTAGTCTATAGTCTAGTCTATCTAGTCTATAGTCTAGTCTATAGTCTAGTCTATAGTCTAGTCTATAGTCTATAGTCTAGTCTATAGTCTAGTCTATAGTCTAGTCTATAGTCTAGTCTATAGTCTAGTCTATAGTCTAGTCTATAGTCTAGTCTATAGTCTAGTCTATAGTCTAGTCTATAGTCTAGTCTAGTCTAGTCTATAGTCTAGTCTATAGTCTAGCCTATAGTCTAGTCTATAGTCTAGTCTATAGTCTAGTCTATAGTCTAGTCTATAGTCTAGTCTATAGTCTAGTCTATAGTCTAGCCTATAGTCTAGTCTATAGTCTAGTCTATAGTCTAGTCTAGTCTAGTCTATAGTCTAGTCTATAGTCTAGTCTATAGTCTAGTCTATAGTCTAGTCTATAGTCTAGTCTATAGTCTAGTCTATCGTCTCTATAGTCTAGTCTATAGTCTAGTCTATAGTCTAGTCTATAGTCTAGTCTATAGTCTAGTCTATAGTCTAGTCTATAGTCTAGTCTATAGTCTAGTCTATAGTCTAGTCTATAGTCTAGTCTATAGTCTAGTCTATAGTCTAGTCTATAGTCTAGTCTATAGTCTAGTCTATAGTCTAGTCTATAGTCTAGTCTATAGTCTAGTCTATAGTCTAGTCTAGTCTAGTCTATAGTCTAGTATCTATAGTCTAGTCTATAGTCTAGTCTATAGTCTAGTCTATAGTCTAGTCTATAGTCTAGTCTATAGTCTAGTCTATAGTCTAGTCTATAGTCTAGTCTATATCTAGTCTATAGTCTAGTCTATAGTCTAGTCTATAGTCTAGTCTATAGTCTAGTCTATAGTCTAGTCTATAGTCTAGTCTATAGTCTAGTCTATAGTCTAGTCTAGTCTAGTCTAGTCTATAGTCTAGTCTATAGTCTAGTCTATAGTCTAGTCTATAGTCTAGTCTATAGTCTAGTCTATAGTCTAGTCTATAGTCTAGTCTATAGTCTAGTCTATAGTCTAGTCTAGTCTATAGTCTAGTCTATAGTCTAGTCTATAGTCTAGTCTATAGTCTAGTCTATAGTCTAGTCTATAGTCTAGTCTATAGTCTAGTCTATAGTCTAGTCTATAGTCTAGTCTATAGTCTAGTCTATAGTCTAGTCTATAGTCTAGTCTTAGTCTAGTCTATAGTCTAGTCTATAGTCTAGTCTATAGTCTAGTCTATAGTCTAGTCTATAGTCTAGTCTATAGTCTAGTCTATAGTCTAGTCTATAGTCTAGTCTATAGTCTAGTCTATAGTCTAGTCTATAGTCTAGTCTATAGTCTAGTCTATAGTCTAGTCTATAGTTAGTCTATAGTCTAGTCTATAGTCTAGTCTATAGTCTAGTCTATAGTCTAGTCATAGTCTAGTCTATAGTCTAGTCTATAGTCTAGTCTATAGTCTAGTCTATAGTCTAGTCTATAGTCTAGTCTATAGTCTAGTCTATAGTCTAGTCTATAGTCTAGTCTATAGTCTAGTCTATAGTCTAGTCTATAGTCTAGTCTATAGTCTAGTCTATAGTCTAGTCTATAGTCTAGTCTATAGTCTAGTCTATAGTCTAGTCTATAGTCTAGTCTATAGTCAAGTCTATAGTCTAGTTATAGTCTAGTCTATAGTCTAGTCTATAGTCTAGTCTATAGTCTAGTCTATAGTCTAGTTATAGTCTAGTCTATAGTCTAGTCTATAGTCTAGTCTATAGTCTAGTCTATAGTCTAGTCTATAGTCTAGTCTATAGTCTAGTCTATAGTCTAGTCTATAGTCTAGTCTATAGTCTAGTCTATAGTCTAGTCTATAGTCTAGTCTATAGTCTAGTCTATAGTCTAGTCTATAGTCTAGTCTATAGTCTAGTCTATAGTTAGTCTATAGTCTAGTCTATAGTCTAGTCTATAGTCTAGTCTATAGTCTAGTCTATAGTCTAGTCTATAGTCTAGTCTATAGTCTAGTCTTAGTCTAGTCTATAGTCTAGCTATAGTCTAGTCTATAGTCTAGTCTATAGTCTAGTCTATAGTCTAGTCTATAGTCTAGTCTATAGTCTAGTCTATAAGTCTATAGTCTAGTCTATAGTCTAGTCTATAGTCTAGTCTATAGTCTAGTCTATAGTCTAGTCTATAGTCTAGTCTATAGTCTAGTATAGTCTAGTCTATAGTCTAGTCTATATCTAGTCTATAGTCTAGTCTATATCTAGTCTATAGTTAGTCTAGTCTATAGCCCATAGTCTAGGCTAGTTTATAGTCGAATCTATGGTCTAGTGTACTATATGTCTATCTGTCTATAGTCTAGTCTATATCTAGTCTATAGTCTAGTCTATAGTCTAGCCCATAGTCTAGGCTAGTTTATAGTCGAATCTATGGTCTAGTGTACTATATGTTCTATTCTAGTCTATAGTCTAGTCTGGCCTAGCCTAATCTATTCTATTGTCTAGTCTAAAATAATACTATGTTAGTTATAAATAAGTACTATTTAAAATTTTTAATTTTCCATGCCTGACCTTTATTTTATTTCCTATATTATCAACCCTGCAGAAAATACTACTCCTATTGAAAACACCTTGGCAAGCAACAAATGCAACCTGTCATTTTCAGTATTTGTTCGCGCGTTTTCCTTCCGTTTTTTCTCTTAAGTGTACTCTAAAGAAAATTTGTAAAATTTCGATAAATAGTGCAATTCCTGTAGTGTTTTTTATTTAGAAATATAATTAAAGGTGTATTTTATACGGGTAATATGAAGTATAGCAAGAAAATTAGAAAAATAATAAGAAAATCGTTGGCAAACATTTTGCTAAAGCAGAACTGCAGTGACGCGTATGTACATAAAAGCTTTTCGATTCGTTTTGTTAGTGAGAATTTAAGAAATTAATTCAAACGGATGTTTTAAAAGAAAAATATAATTCAGAAAGTGTTTTATGCGGGTAATATGAAATATTAATAGAAATTAATGGAATTAATTAGGAAACTGTGGTTGAAATTAAACATCCAAATTTGCAAAGCAACAGTGGTCAAGTTATACATAGTTAACATTGGAGTCTCCCATTTAACATGAGACAGTTCTGTTAATTTAACATACTTTGCTGTGGATGACATTGTTTTGTTAACATTAAATAAACATCTATCGTTTGATGTGTATAATTACAAGATTTTTTACAAAGTCGAATAAAATAAAAAGTGATCGGTTAAGAAACATGAAAAAAAATTCTTAAAAAAATTAATCGTAAGTGTAAAAAAGATTTAAAACCAGGAACATAATATATTAAACTTTTAAAATAAATAATACAAGTGCTAATTATAATTATAAAAAATAAATAAGATAATTTAATAAAAACGTCGCGCGGAAATGATATTATATATCCAAAAAACTTATGGGCAAAATAATATGGACCGTTGTAAATACTTATCTGAATTATGCTTAATTTAATTTTTTTGGCTATATATTTTTGGAAATTATTACTTCATCAAAAGCTTTAAAAACTCTTAGGATATTTTCTGATTTATATAGATTTATTTTATTAAAAATATCATTCTTAATATCTTTCAAATTAAAGATTCCATACTAATTATCAAATTTTATTTTAATATGTTCTAAATTTTAGTTATATGTACATTTTTCATTTAACAAAAATTTTAAATTATTTTTAACATTTATCTTGATTTGTTCATATTTTATTGCCCGTAAGTTAATATAACAAAATAATTAAGAGAAAAAAAAAAAATGAAATAAATAATTCCAAATTCAATAAGCAAATAAT